GGCCTGGCGGGCATGGTCACCTGGGAGGTGGAGGGCTTTGAGCCCTGTCCCTGGTACCTGTGTTGTCTCCACAGGTTGGCTGCTTCTGCCTTCTGCCGTTGTCGTTCTTGCCACATGAGAACTATTCTTGCCTTCTATTCATCATAGCTGATCAGAATGCTGTGGCTGAGGTCTGAAATGGTCTTTAGGTAATGAGGCGGCAGCCCCAATTTCATATACTCAACCATGCATCCTGAGTCGGCTATGTCCTCCCGGATCCCAGCGAGTTTCCTGAGTCATTCCAACTCGTCGAAGTAGTCTGGCGCCGCCTTGTCGCCCATCTTGTACTCCTTCATCTTGGCCTTGTGTACTTCTTGGACAGCTGGATCCGTGAATTTGTCATGGATCATCTGTTTTAGTACTGGCCATGTGGACAGTTGGTGGTGTTGCCTCGTGGTTGACCAGAAGGTAGGCGCTAGTAATACCCACCATACTTTTGCTTTGTCTTTGAAGTATGTGGTGGCATAGTTGACCTTGTATACATCGAGGAGGAAGTAGGAGGCAAAAACTTGAAAATATTGGTCACAATCTAAAAGGAAGCGGTCAATATCATCTGAGGCCCCCTTGAAGAGAAGGGGGTCCCACCCAAGCGTCAGTTTGATGTTTAGTATATGCACCTTTGGATCGAGAGGCGGCATCGGATTTGGCGGTTCCCCCCCAGGAGGGCCGACCCAGTCCATCGGGGGTCCGGGAAGAGAATGCAGAGACCCATCATCAGCGATGAGGCTTCTTGGCATTAGGGGCCCTTCTTTTCGGATGATGCGGCCATCTTTGATTGTCCATCCCTGTGCTGTGGCCTCAGGATCATCTACCTTTGAATTGGTTACCTCATCGGGTGGTGGCTGTCCTCCCATTGGCTTTAGTAGGAAGCCGGGGATCCTCCAGGGGTTAGGATATTTTGGCTTTTCCTCGGAGAGCCAAGATGTCGTACTGCACATCGAAGGGCTTCTCCTCCAGGGTGGTGGAGTACTTACTGGGAATGGCAAGTATTCATCTTCAGGGAGTACCAGGGGTAACCCTGGTGCTAGCGGCATCCTATTGTTGCTGAGGATTGGCTGAGGGTAGTGGTGACTCCCTGAATGCCTTTCTTCCCTGCTCTTCCAGTCTTCCCACTCCTCATCCACCAGCCACATCCACCAACTATTTTCGGAGGGAAGGCTTCCCTCCTCTTCTATTTCTCCTTCTTCCCTCAGGCCAGTATAGGCCTTGGGGATCGTTGGAGTCCTTCCAATATGGGACCCCCTAGGTCAGTAGGTCCCAAACTCCTTTGGTCTCAGCATTGTGCCACCACTCTCTCTCTCTTTCGATCCACTCGGCATATTGTCGGAATTCCTCAAAGAAGTCATGATTGAGGAATTGAGTGGTGAGCTTCCTGTGCAAGAACCCTTGAAGGGCTCGATTGCTGATCTGGGGTGTTGGCTGGGTTGCCATGCATACTTTGATGGTCCAATTAGAGGACTCATCATCTGCCAGGGAGCTGCTGCTCCCTGACCCGCTGGGTACAGGTCCGTCTGGACCGCTTTCTCCTTCGTTGGTGGTGTTATCCCACCAGTCGACCTCATAGGGGTCATCCTTGGGCTCCTTGTTCCATTCGGTCCCTGGGGACCACTTTCGTCCTCTGGCAGACCTGCTGCCTCCTTCGGTGACTGTTGATCGAGGATCGGTACTTCGATCCTGATCATCCCTGGCTTCATCCCAGCGATCTGGGGCATAGGGGTCGTCTTCGGGATTTTCATCCCATTCGGTACCCAGAGGCCATTCTCGGTGTTCCTGGGTTCTGGAGGCAGGGCCCCATTCTGTTGGTTGGCCGAGTCCAGCCAACTGTTGGTGCTCCTCGTCGAGCTCACTCCCCCACTGCTGGCTATGCTTGACCTCCTCTTCTTCCACCAATGTGTTGGTGAAGTCGGAGTCAGTGGTCGGGATTCGTGAGGAATCTGAGAGGGGTTCCTCCTCCTCTTGGCAAGGACCTGGTTGGCCCATGCCTTCAGACCCTTGTCTGGGTCTGTGGTTGGTGATTCGGGCCTCAGCAGAGAGGCCATTGATGAGTCAATGGATGGTGTCATCTCTGGCTTGATAATCCCTGATTATTGTTGTTGTTAAGGTTTCTAGAAGAACGGTCAGCAATTCAATGGAGGAAGAGGGGACTTTGGAGTTGATAGAGCCAGCGTTGTTAGACATATGATGTCTTTGATTGATTGAGGTTGGTGAGAAGTGTTCAGTTCTTTTAGCTTTTAGGCTTAAAGAAGGGAAGCTAGAAGTCTCGAACTAATTGTTAAGCCCAAATTCCACATGACAATCACTATGTGATAAACAGTTCGGTACCTTGCACTTCAGATATGTCCGACTGAGTTCACTGATGTGATGAGAGTGTTGTGAGGTCAAGGCGTTGCAAGTAGCTGGAGCTCAAGATAAGATGGTGAAGTGAAACTTTAGTTCGAGACTGGGGTATTACAGCGAGGACTGAGCTACTTAAATACTAGTCGGCTATAAATAAATATTCACAAAAAGCTGTTGTCCTGCTGTGTGCTGTTTCCCCCTCTATGACTAGTCTCTCCACAAAACTATTATCCTGCTGTGTGCTGTTACTGCTGCGCCGCAGTTAGAGAACAAAATGAGTATTGTCTCTCCCTTCACAGCACACAGCTATGTGATATGAGTTGGACTGACTGGGTTGCTGAGCTAATCCTTCCCACGGTCCTAAGTGCTGGCCTAAGCGCCCTGACTAAGCAAAGATAGAGGTCACTTCCAAGGAAAAGAAAGGAAAAATAGAAGAAAAATAGGAAAAATCGTAACAGATACTACAAATCTGCATCTACCATGACCAAAAAAGAAACTGGCAGACAAACAAATGGGTCCATTCAAAGTCATAGCCAAAATTGGCAAATCCACATATAAATTGCAACTCCCAACAACATGAAGGATCCATAATGTTTTCAATGAGACATTATTAACTCTATATGTGGCCCCAGCCTTTCCAAACCAAGAAAGACCACCTCCACCACCCGCCAAACTCATCGATGATGAAGAATATTATGAAATCAACAAGGTGCTTAACCACAAGACCCGAAAGATTAAGACATAAGGTGGAGGCATGAAAACAACTGTTGACTATCTAGTCAGCTGGAAAGGATACAGGCCAGAATCAAACCAATGGGTCAATGAAAAATATATGAATGTGGATGACACCATTCAGGACTATGAACACAGGATCAATAACTTGGACATGAAGAGGATCATGTTCAATATTATATCTGTGAAACAAGAGCTGACGACAACAGGAAGGAAGGTTGTATCTAGCCAGATATACATCAACCGACCTGCTGACAGCAGAGGACATGTTAGAGAGGACGATGAAGATGGCAATGTGATGGACGAGCCAGAAATGGTGGAGACATACAGTGAAGAGCAATGTACCATGCCTTCGACTCATTTGAAGCCTGCTGTTGAAACGACGAGAGGCCCAGCAGATCAGCCACCTCCTGAAGGGCAAGGAGGACTTCCCTAATTAAGCCATCAGGATGATGGTCTTAAGGAGGGGGTAATGTTACAATTTTTCCTATTTTCTTTTTCTTTTCCTTGGAAATGACTCCTATCTCTGCTTAGTCAGGGCACTTAGGCCAGTGCTTAGGACTGTGGGAATGCTTAGCTCAGCAACCCAGATGGTCACTCTCCTATCGCATTGCTGTGTGCTGTGAAGGGAGAGACAATACCTCTTTCATCTCCAACTGGCAGTGCAACCACAGCAGCACAATAGCAAGACAACAGCTTTTGTGGAGAGCCTGACAACAGCAGGGGTAACAGCTCTATGACAGACAATATCTTTTGTGAACATTTATTTATAGCATGATAACAGAACAGTATTTAAGTAGCATAGCTCTTGCTGTAATACTCCAGCTTCGAGCTAAAGTTTATTCTCTACCATCCTATCTCAAGTGACTTGCAATGCCTTGACCACACACCTCTGTTAACACATCAGTGAACTCAGTCGGACATACCCAAAGTGTGAGGTACCAAACTGTTTATCACGTGTTGATAGTCACATGGAGTTTGGGCTTAACAGGTATATATGACTGCTATTGATCAGTATGGAACATGGTTATAACATGATACTCATTAACCATCAACATTTCAATTTGCTAAGGCTTTCAATGAGTAATTCTCTTTTTTTGGTACAAAGTCTGTCAAGTTTTTTTTTTTTTCAGCAATGTTCTTGGCTGAGATCATACTAATCAAATGGTAACCCTCTTCAGGCTGGCAGCCATGTACTCAGCAATACTTTAGAGCTTGATGATCATTGGCAGAGCATATACTGGGAGAAGGAAGGAAAGGTGCAATGAGAGGATGGAATGAAGGAGCATGCCCATTTAGACTCGCCAGAAAGGTGGGAGGAGACCCGATCGGCAGCACATTCGTCACCGATGCAGGCTTGTAGCCAGCTCTCGGCGAATGCCGGATGCGTTGAGCCGTTTTTAGGGTACGCATTTTTTCTCCCGCGCTTTTTTTTTTTCCACTTGGACAGAGCCTGAGTCAATCCTTGCACCGCACCTGTCATTCATGTCCATCTCAGAAACCCTGTACAGCTTTCTAATTCTCAGCCGCCGATCCTGTTTGTCCCTCACAGAAGCACGTCAATGAAGTACTAGTTTTGAGCTGCGATCCAGATCCAGATCCAGAAAGTTGAATAAGAGCAAGGTCATGCACGCGATACAGTTTTGGCAGCGGTGTTTCTTGTTCCTGCCGAGGTCACCGTAGCGATCATCGAGATCGGATACTGATCAGCGTGTAATGAATCCAGTTCCCACACGTGCTTCAAGTCCACGAAGAACCATTGCGTTTTGGCCCAACTCTGGCTGGCAGTTTCAATGCAAACACTCATCGTTTCTCTACGTGTGGCCAAGGCATTGGGTCAGAGATGATGCTTTTTTTCCAAGTACATGAATGCGCTCATAGGATTGCAAATAGAGCAAACGCTCGCCAAACATGCCTCGATAAATCCACTAGCCCCGTGAGCACTGTCTTCCACTGGCATGTTTTGTGTTATGACAGCCAAGAAGATGCTATCTATCCCGCGAACATTGCGCCTGAGGCTGAATCCCAACCACTCAAAGACTGCTTCCGAGTCCGAGCACTGATCAACGTCGGGTCCTCTTATCTTTCCTCGTCCAGAGCCTTCTTCTTCGTTTCGTAAACCGTGACCATATGTTATCGAACACCCCCCGACTTCGCGGAAAGCCACCAACGGCTTGGACTTCCGGATGCTTGCAAAGGTATTTTTACTCGCAACCTCATGGCGACCGTGCACAGTATAAGGCGAACGTCATACATAGTTGCTGGGCCTGTTCAACGGAGATGCATACCCCCCCTGATGTTATCCGTTCCCGCGAGCGACGACACCCACAGCCAGGAACCCGGCCCAGAACAATCTCGGGAAACGTAAGTTCTCATGGTACTTAATTCGACCCGGGATTAACGTTAGAACTGATAGGATCAAAAGCAGGGGGGGAGGACCCTATGTCTTGTATACCATATCTGATCTGAATGGCTTGAACCCCCCGCCCCCCAACTTTGGGCGAAAAAGTCACTATGGAATGATGATATCCTTACCCCGTTGTCGGGATACGTTTACGTTTCGCAGATAGATCCCCGCAGTACGAGGAATCTTAGTTGATGTATGCCATACGGCGCCACTAGTATACACTTTACCCAGTTTGCTTCATGCACACATCTCGACATTAAATAAACGCAGCATCCCCATGGGCAGAATATCACCATGGCGCCGTGATTGGTAGTATGACAGGGGTACCATGATGTTGTTAATCGATGAAATCCCCAGATCTGACCAGCCCAACAGAAATCTGAACCTTCAAAATACATTCGATTCCTTTCACATGCTGTATGTATGTATGTATGCATATACACCGTTTGACCAAGAAGATAGCTAGCTGTTACAATGGAGGCGGGTATAAACCGTAAGTCGTAAAAATGCAGTCATAAATAAAAATCCATGTCCGTGCCAATTTCGTTCAAACGATGCGTTCCTCCATCCGCATCTTATCGTCGTGCTTCCCATTTCACCACGACTGTCCTCTGCTTCTGAGTGACCCACGGCGCCATGGCCTTCGGAATCTCAACCTCCCTCGCAACGTACACCTCCAGATACACCCTCCGCAACGCCGACCTTCTCATCAGCCTCGCCACCACCTCCAAACACCCCTTATCAAACTTCCTCGGCGCATGGAAAGGATACGACGGTATCTTCACCACCAGCTCCTGCAACTTCGGCAACAGCCCATGCTCCCCGCCCGCCAACCCGGCAATAAGATCAAACGGGTACACAAGGAGCAACAAATCCAGGGTCACGACCGTCTGCGCCGCTGGGAACCGGAACACTGGAAGAAGGCCCGCGCTAGAAAAGGTCGACGGGAACAGCCGCAGAGACAGCGCCCTCAAGCTGCATCCAGAATGGCACAAAAGCGCAGCCAACGACTCGGTCGGGATGCTCTGCGGCGACTGGTGGATCGTGATGTCCTCCAACGCCGGCAAGACGAGGTGGTCCAGAATGTTCGCATTATTCACCACCAGCTTCGACAGGCACCGCATCTCCAATCTCTTGATCGGGGCCCCCATCATCGTGTCGCCCGCAGAGGAAGGGTGGCGCACCCGTAAATGGCAGTGCTGCACCTTTGGCGTGCGGCGCAGGACAGAGAGGTGATCTTCGAGCCGATCCTCTTCCGCGAAATAGCTCGTCAGTTGCGCCCAGGGCAGCCGGAGACTGTGCGCGACGGGTCTCACGCCCTGGATGAATACATTATCCAGCCTGGGCGCCAATTCGTACGCGCCACATACAAACCGATCCGGCTGTCCGATGACAATCAGCTTGAGGTACCGCAACATGGGAAGCCTTCCCCCAATGGGAGCGAACCGTGAGAGGTTCTGACCTTTGCCTAGTATTCGGACTGATTCCCAACGGTGCTTCTCGTGGAAGAGCAGCTGGAGTATTCGCTCTCCATAGTCAGAGATGTCATGCATGATGCAGTCAAACGTGAGCAGAGTGCCTCGGGAATTGCGGAGGAACACGGAAAGGGCGGTGACGCGGCTCGCATGATTCGCGTCGAGATTGACAGAAAAGCTAGACCAGAGGGAGGGGAGGGCGTCGACGATGTCGCGCCACCTTCGGCATACGTAAGTGAGCAGGCGAGGAGCTTCAGCGACTTTATGGACGAAGGGGAGCTGAGGGCGGTCGTGGTGGAGGTGCAGGAAGATGTCGGTAAGGATCTCGGTTGGAAGTCGTTGAATGGGGGATAGAACGTCAGTCGGACAGGGTGCTATGTCGCCGAAGTGGGTCCCAGGGATAGGCGCGGCGTGTTTCGGAGACGGCAACGCCTTGAAGGCATCTCTGAGCATCCTCCTCGGCTTTGAGTGGTGAGAATCGCGTATACTAGCAGAGGCGCTATGCAAGGCTCTAGCGGCGGTCATGATTAATTCGGCATCGACAGGGTGCATGAGGGAGCTACTGGTCACTATAAGCCGCCACGCCATATAGAATAGAACGAGCAACACACCTGAGGAACGCGGGGGGGAGGGGGGGAACGGACGAGTCGTGAAGCAAGCTGTTCATCAAGAGTACAGTACCTCGTTTTATGAAGGTAAGTGCTACCTTCTACCTCTTCTTCTTCACAGGGTTACCCCGGGTGAAAGTTTCCGGAAAGCTATGGACCCGATTGAGCGTTTTGTTTGACAGGGCGTTCTAACCACACTCACCGGAACACGATCGGCGTACTATTTACTGGTCTCTTCCAGAAATGTATTTCATCGTCCGGGAATAAGAGGGGGAAAACCCATTTCTGATGAGCCATCAAATTCGAATTCGAAGCTCTCGCAAGGTGGAAACGAGACGGTAGGGCTTGGTAGAAATGAGGGCACTGACGACTGCAAGGAATTGGGGAAAAATGGAGAGGTGGGGTGATGAGAAGGTGGGGAAAAGGGAGAGATACATATGAAGCTCAAAAAATCGTACCTGGGTATTTATGTGATCGGCTACAAAACGGAAAACGGAGGCCAAACGGAAGCAAATATCATACGCATCAACGATCACGCCGAAGCCCACTCATAGATATGGGACGGCTTAGACTCATCGAGAGATATTCAAGAACAAGTTGGCAATGCAAATTATAGAACTAAAAGTACACATACATAATCCGAGTTTGGCGAGGAATAGCACATATCAAGGAATCTTCAGACGTTCTAGAATCCCAGCGCCTCTTCGTAAGAAGGAACAAAGTCTCCATTAGTCCAATGCCGGGGTCGCAGTTGCAAGGCCATCCTTTCCTCCCCCAAAGCTTGGCATGTTCTCTCGGGAAACAGGGGGACAGTTCGAAGGGTCGCGATGGGGGGAGGAGGGGGGGGGAACGAAAAGACGGCACCGACCGTAGCGAGGCGAGACACGAAACCCAAACCGATCGACCGAAGACATAAAGATGCACGTGCCGGGTGCAATCCCCCCCCCTTCTGTGAGGAACATTCATCGACGTTTATGTCAATATGAAGCCCCTTCCTGGATCCGGCAGTCAGAATTAGACGAGAGAAGCAACAGTACGGTAGCACCCTAAACGAAGGTAGATGAGACTGGACGAGAGACATGAAAGTAGTCAAGCCCCGAGTTGTTCGAGACCCAGTCCGATTCGGTAACATGCCTTGAGGGACAAGACATTCCACGTGCGAGGTACAACACAGAGGCGCAGGCAGGATGTGCCATTGCCACTCTGTGACAGCCAACCTGACGTTCCATGAGCCACATCTTGGAAATCTGAATATCCATTACTGCCCACCGACATCGGTACAGTAGCTAGAGCGAATGAAGGGCGCTACACGACCTCATTGTGCACCAAGCAAATGAACATCTGAACAAACTCCGCGTTCATTTGTTGTTAGACTGTACGATATATATGCTTAAGATAAACAGAAAGGTAACATAGGGTGTAGAGGATCAACAGGAACAACAAACGAGGGACTCGAAACGAGGAATGTGGCTGGTATTGGGTAGCAATGAAGAGGCACACAGAGTAACTATGGCGGAATATAAATCAATCAAAAACAAAACAATGTGATCCTCGTAAGATGATGGCCCATGGTCATGGGATGCGTAAGCAGGCAATAATAATGTAACTATACTGTGGTATGACCAAAATGACAACAAAAGAAATAAAGGGAAAAAACAGGAAGTATCCACCCTCTACCCGGGTAGTGGTGCACTTGATTCTATAGCAATCCACATTCCCGAAGATGCAGTTGCAGAAGGATATCCTGAATTGCGCTTAGGACGACTGCGGACCGACGAGTGAGAACAGTGGCACAGTCAGGGCGAAATTGACATACATTTGATTTGTTGTGTATCCGTAGCACAAGTATAGTGTGCATATATCTGCTTGGTCGCAGCACTCTGATTGAGACTGACGAACCGGTGCAAAAGGTAATCACAAGCCGCATCATAGTTGTCGCCACCTGGAAACAAGGGTCAGCCAGTAGAAGATGGAAACGACAGCTCACGCACCTGTGTAGTCAGGGAAGTAATCGCTCAGCGGTGACCGCGGCAGTTTCTCGGCAAACAGATCAATCTTATTGAGGAATAAGATCTTTAAAAGCCGTCAGGGGAAGAAAATGGAGGTCAGAAAATGGATGTACGTACGATGGACGTCTTCACGAACCATCTTGAGTTGCATATCGAGTCAAACAACGTGAGAGCCTCTTGCATACGGTTCTATTTCAAATAACCGTGAGGGAAGCGACAGAGAAGACAGCATTAAGACGTACCACGCTTTCATCCTCGTACAACATCTGATCGTATTCGCTCAAACTGACCAAGAAGACCAATGCCGTGACGTTCTCGAAGCAGTGAATCCACTTCTTCCGCTCACTACGCTGACCACCGACATCAAACAGCTTGTACGTCAACTCTCCAACCTTGAACGTCGTCTCCGTAATGCCAGTCGTCTTCACCCGCGACCGAAGGATGTCTTGGTCTGTTGGCATGTAACCAGGACCAGCCATGCGGTCGAGTGAGTTGAAATAATAGACGGCCGAGTCGTTCAGTTGAAATTCCCGTGAGCGACGAACGGCTTCCCGGACGCCAGGGTCCCTCCACAACGACCGAATACCATCAACGACGTCCCGGGGAAGCACGTCAGTCTCAAGCTGACCAGGCAATGCGAGGATAGTAGCACGACGAGCATCGTTTTGGGGCGCGAGAGAAAGGTCCAGCTGCGGCATGGCCTCGAGAATCGCCCTAAAACGCCATCAGAATTATTTTTAGGGGCCATAACAGCATCATACCGCATGGATTGAATAGTGTTGGAGAAGATGATTTCCTTGTAAGAATCTCGCTCTTGGTCGTTGTAGCCGCCATGGTGGATAAGTTTCATCTGCTTCAACACCGTCGACTATAACAGCGGCAATCCTCCTATTGAGCGGTCCCATTATCGCGCAACATATCAGACACGGACCTTTCCAGACTCTCCAGCACCCAGCAATAGCATTTTTATCTCATTCTTCGCCATCATCCTGTCCCGCTTGAGCTGGTTTTCGATTTCATCGTTGCCTACAGACCTGTCAGCTGTTGCCACTGGAGTTAAGATGAACAGGTACGCACGGGCCTTGGCCTCCTCGTCAACGCCAGTAGACTGTACACAACCCATTGGGGCTCGGCAATAGGATTAAGGGGATAAAGTGAAGGAATGGATGGAAGTGGCTGCTGGGCCAAAGCAAGAAAAAAAGCAACGACGTCGGGAAAAACAAGTGAAAGTCGGCTCCCTCGGCTTACTATTCAGCCACATCGGTCATTTATGTGTATTTGTTTGGGATCATTATCCTATTTCGGCTGACCTCCCCTGATGCGATTGGCTAAATGATCTTTCAACACTCACCTCCTATAATAATGTATTCTGTCCATAGAAGATAATAGACAAAATTCTTAACCTTGATTTCCATTGTCTTTTGCCAATGAGGACCCATCCCAGCCTGGCCATGTCTTTTCGTCCCTCCTGGCCGGTTCCCAGTGAAACGGGTTTCCATCCAAATGAATTGTTACAATGTTCTCGGTCGCCCCCACATCAAATTCGAATTCTGGGCTCGCACGCGCGTGTATACCTGCCTATTCTGATAGATCTGATGCTTTGATTGACTTTATTGGTGCAATCAGCCCGTTCACAAGGTGCAAGTTCACCCAAAAAACACCGTTCTTGTGCCTAATATGTCCTCCTTCCTGATGATCTGACGAAGGCACCTGTGACCTGTATCGAAGGAACGCCCCCTACACAAAGACAAGAGATTAAGCATCACACGAAAATGGACCGGCGGGTGCCTCCTATTATACCTCTAACAAGATCGCGTCTCCTTGTTTTAGATACCGGTCCTTGACGGACCAACAGCATACACAACCGTGCAACTCGGACACAATATGTTTTGAACTGAACAAAGTCCGACTCGGAGCCCGACCGATTCGAAGCGCGGCATGACGCGTTTCGGGTACTGGCCTGCTGACTCAGATCGGGATCCCGCCCCATTCAATCCCGCCCGACTCTCGGCAGATTGCCACGTTTTTCTTCGAGTGTCGCGGGAAAGAATAATACGAAACCCGTTCGTCCTGGGCAGCATCGATGACGCGTATGGACCAATGAGAGCCATCCTCATTAGCAATAGATTAGTAGTTGATGATTTCAATCATTTTACGTCTACGCTGCTGACTCAACATCCCCCTACCTTCCTGAATATCTAAGAGCCAGTTGCGGATCCCCCTTAGTCGGCCCGAGAAAACGCAAGCTAGTACCAAGTTCATATTAGACTTTTTCACGGATGGTAGTACTCCTAAGACCATACACTTACTTCCCTCTAGGCCCGTGGCCACCGGCAAAAATCCCTACCTTGTATTCAAATTCAATACTCGCACGTCTCAGTTGACATTCAACAGGCCTCATGTTGTTCATCTGGACATTATCACTGTCAGTGGCACCAATACGAAAGAAAAAGTCATGACATGGGACAGTTAACGAATATCTGTCCGGCTTCCTGTCGCCGATAAGCTTTGCCCACCCAGAGAGCTCAAATTCGTTTCGTGGGGGGGTCCAAGTACGGTACGACATTCCCCGTCGCGGCCAGAACCAAGTATCGAATACTTTTGGAATCTTGCGGACAGCAGATGTCGATGTCATCCCACAACTGCAGGGTCACTGATATCTGGCAATCGAAGCACAGTGCGTGGCGGAATATGATTATCCTCGTGCCGATTCCGAGTCACCGTGATGGATGACCATCCTCCGTATCGGCAATTGAAATTAAATCAGTATGCGATACCAGCGGAGTGCTGTTCCACGTCAGGTGCATCTTTGGAGTTCTCTTCGTGTTTACTATACAAATCTTGAGCTGCTTACTTCTTTCCGCACTCCCAAAGGGATGCCAGATATGTATGTTTTCCATAACCTAGTCTTCCAACTCAGTAGGCCGTCCCATGCGCAGGCAAACCATCGGGAAATATCTGCTTGAAAAGTGCAGGATAATGTCGTTCCCCGACGTCAGGGTGGCTCCTGAAACATGGTTAGCCGACTCTAGAATGAATGACAGAAGGCAGAAAGTAGACAAACTTCACTCTGCCCACAAGGTTGACATGCCCAGAAGTCTGCGTAGAAAATTCAGGGAAGTTCACGGCTAAAAGGACGCAAGTCCAGAAAACGTTAACGGAAAGACATGCAGGCATAAGGGTACTAACAATCCGAGTCCGGCAGCTTTCCCCTCGCGTCGCGTAGTTTCAGGATCTCCTCTGGGACTACGGATATGCAAGTGAGGGTAAACACCAGTATATAATAACATTAGGTAAACGCACAATTCAAAGTGTACGCAGGATCGGTCACTTTGACGTCTAGCCCAATATTATGGAAGAAAGGTATCGAATATCTAGGGCTCGTCGATCCTAAAGGAGGTGAGAGGACCCTGTGGGATGTGGCGCGCACAGTGCCTTGAGTGGCGAACTCCAGCGCTAGACCTCTTCGTCAGAACCCGAGATCGTGTGGCGCAGCAGATCATGTCAGATTCACCTCGTCCAAAGTTGACCTACGAATACCGTAAACCCCCTCCGTAACGACAGGAAAAAAAACATTGTAACGATACCACAAAAGTTCCCGGCACCGGGGAAGCATCGATCCACTCCCCCGCCAGATTCTGTACCTGCAATCCCGGGTGATCCGATGCCTGTAGTAGCTAGTACGCAGATCAGACGTCAGTTGAATAACCCACACTTGATAAGGGATCGGCGCGCACTATAGTCAAAAAGCCTGCATCATAATGCGGCCCTACGCCCTGATTCGACGGCGAACGCTCATTGACCACCGGGTACTGCACTATCTTGCTCCGATGCTGCATGAGCTCAGGCGCGTCGTAAAACCGCGATAACCCATCCGGGCCGAGCCCGAGCGCCTCAGCCAGCACCCCGACGAAACTATCCGCCAATTCCTGTACCTGCTCGAGGTATTTCTCTAGCGTCGCTCTGAATCCGAGAATCAAGTCCTCGTCAGGCCACTGAGGAACGCTTTTAGTAGGAACGGCAACGGAGCAAATATGGCACGTTACCTGAGACGGACCCCACAAACGCTTGTAATCTGGATCTCCAGGCTTCCATCGACAGTTATGGGGCGTGGCGATATCAAACTGTTCCCTCATATCCACCTTCCCCTTGGTGTACTCCGCACCGAACTGAGAGTACCCCAGAAAATGAGGCGAGTTGCGCATTCGGACCTTTTCCTTCGCTTCTTGGGGGAGAGCGAATAGTCGAGGAACGTACGAAACGAGTTCTTCGACAAGAACAGGGTCCACATTCGTGTTCGATAGATAGAGAAAGCCTACATTGATAGCGGCGTTGCGGAGCTCGGAGGTAAGTTGCGATCGAGTACTCGCAGAGGCAGCTAAGGAATAGTCGAGAATCGGTATTGAGGAGAAATTTTCTGAAGCTGGACTTGACGACATTTTGGACTGGAAGAGCCAGCTGATAGAGATGAAACTGCAATGCAATTATTATAAAATGGCCTGGGTCAGGTGTTGTGCGATGAGTGCACGATGGCGCGATCAGACACATTACACTGATCTGGCCGAGGTCCGATGATCATCGGATACGGCCGCGGATGCTACATGAACGCCAGAGAATCGCGTACTTTCTGTAGCGGGTTCGCATCGTCCTCGCCGTTCAGGCTAGAGCTTCATTCTGTCTTTCCGAACGGCATTTCGGACCCGAACCGCCGAAGCAGAAGCGTTTCCAAAGCGTTCCCGAACAAGTGTACAGAAATAAATACATGATGAAGAAACTGGGAAAATTATCTACGTGTCTGCTCTCATCGGCTCCGAAAGAAGGTATGAGCTCATAAAGCCCCATTCTGACATCGACGGTTGGAGGATATGATGGGTGCATCGTCGCCAGAACAACAGAACAGTCTCTACGTATGCCGCCACGCATACGGCAAGATCATAACATTGAGAAGAAGGTTCCAAGCCAAGCTGGAGCAACACAAGCAACGACAACTATCATCGTAGCCATGATCCTGCAAGCCTAGTAGAGTTTGAGTGCGGGGGCACGCCATGTTTTCGTCTGGAAAATCTCTCCGTTCAGTAGGTTCGAACAAAACAACGGAACACCCGCCGTTTATTGCTGCGTCGGATGAATAGGAAGCGAGAGAGCTCGCAACTCAGAGACTCGCTCAGCCATGACACTGGCCCAGCCTCATGCTGCAAGCGCTGGGCCGCATGAGAACGGATGCGAACAACGCGCCCTTCGCCGTCCCAAGGTCTGGCTGGGAACAGTCGATACGTAGCAGAATCGGAAGGAGATGTCGACAATAGAATGCTATGGCTGTATTTCTGTGGATTCCGATAAGATTCGGAGGACGGTCCAGAAATAATGATAACGCAGGACAGGACTCTGAACAGACTCTTTAGACATCTTTCTCCGCGTTTCAGGTGTACATCATGTCGAAGATGCGCCTGCAACTCTATAGAGCCCTCACACACATGGTTACAGGGCGGGGAGACAAACAGAGGTCGTCTCGGAAGTCGACAGAAGGGATTGTCGCCAAAGAACGAGCAAGGAATAGAGACGATCAGCATACCTCCTGCTGCTTTTGAACGCGTAAGCCAAGTCAGACGCCGAAACTGGGGGGATGGTTGTTATGCCGATGTCTGTAAGTGAATGGTCAGGTCAGGCGTGGCGCCGAGTGCTGACTCGGATTGACGAAGAGAAACGAAAATACCGACTGCAGTATCTGTTCCATGCTGCTAGTATTTCATCGCTGTCTGGAGCAGTGTTAATGAATGCTGCAACGCCGGCGGCCCAGGTACCTACAAACATGGCTCCGACCAATAAAAATTCCTTGACGCGATGTAGTAGAAGGTGGCGGTCACTGTTCACGTTAAAGCGCCGATCAGGAGCAAATCCTTTTTGGATGTAAATCTAAGCCAAAATGGTCGGACTTGATCCCTCGACTATCATATATCCTTCTCGGGCTCTCTGCCCAGACGTGCTTGTAGCCATTGAAGAAACAAACGTCGATTATGTACCCAAATTGACACTTTGTGAGATATCCCACGGATCGTTATTCTACGCTGTTATTCCTTTTCACTCGTATACCTTCAAACAGTAGCTGTCCCGAATCGTGAGTCCACGGCGTCGAAACATCAAGAGCATTTCCTTCCAACGCGTCAAGCAGACCGGCGACCCGGAATCAGAGGCTTTTTAATCGTCTGCGTCTAGATCGAAGTAGGAAACATCAGAATGCCAGGATTCGTATCTTCCAATCTCAATCTTCATCCCCCCCTTCGATAATGCCCGTAGCTGTGCTTCTTCTGACGATGCTAGCCATCCGCTAGGACCAACTCGTGCATCCAGCATCCAGCATCCCGTCCCGAAGTTCATTGTTAATCGAAATTGCTTCAGACAACTCTGACGAGCTGTCAACATTTCGATAATGGCTGTCACGTAGTCATAGGTGATGTCGGCACGATATATACTCAAATCCGTGAGGGAAGGGAGGACTAGTGATGACTGTGCCATCTCGTGGAAGAAGAATTTGTTCAGGGAACACGGTGAGTTTACGCTTAGCGACGTCAAAGAAGGAAGCAGGCGGAAAAGCTGAGTGAATTCAGCCCTAACAAAGACAAAATAAAATGAAATCTTCTCCACATTGCAACATGATCTCTGGATTAAGGAGGTTAATTTAGGTACCATGTTGTCTTCGTCTCCGCAAATTTTTAAGGAGACGAGCTTGGGAAGGAGTATGGAATCGAAAAACGACATCATTCCTGAATCAATTTCGAGCACTCGAAGATAAGGTAGTGTGGTCACAGGATATGCGCAGCTGTCATCGGTCGACTTGGCCCGAATTGACATTTCAAGACGCAGTGTTTCGAGACGAGGCCCACTGTGTAAGATTTGCAAATAGTAGTTCTTCGATAAGGAACGGGAGAAGATTGATAGCTCTTTCAGCTGTTCCCACGGAAGGATGAACTCGGCTTGAGCGAGCCTGAGGAAAACGTTGCACAGGTTCGGAGCGCTGGCGAAGATATCGGCCGGAATTGACGGATCATTGTCCTGCACGTCGAGATCAAGACTTTCAAGCATTGGAAAGGAGCTTTTGGTGAGAGTAAGGAATTCGCAAAGGGGGCCTCGTATATGGATTTTGGCATTTCGCCATCGTGCTGCTTGATCAATGAACCCATCCAAATAACCTAAGATAGTCGTTTGTTCTGGAGAGAAGGTTGGGAATTCGAAATCGAATGAGAAAGTAAGAGGTGCATCCTCGGAGTATTTGAGGGCCTGGTCGAGAACGCTCTTATATATTTCGCTGCGCATGGAAAGTGCGGACAGGGGGTCCAGCTTTCGCCCGGCGAACCAGCTCGGACCGCCACGGGAAAACGGTGGAGGGATGCATAAAACATCCACACGAAACTCTGACCACAGGATGGGATTGGAGTGGGCAACATCTCTCCAACACCTACACACCCTAGTCGCAATCCAAGGAAACTGATCCACCGACGCAGCATTAGGAGAGGCGAGCTGGAAGATGACTACGAGGAGATAATCTGGTAAGGAACGAATGGGAGATGAAAGTGCGTATTCGTGTCGGTCTATGATTTCTTGTACGCGGAGCTGTTCAGAGCGTGCTTTCGCATATGCTTCTTCGTATTTTTTTAGAATGAACGTAACCTGCGAGATGGCATTCTGCTGATGGGCAAACAATTCTTCAAAGCATGAGAAGTTTTTAGTTAACCGTCCAAGGGTCTGCTGGATTTCGATACAGTCGGCTGATGCAGGATAGAAATTATTGTTTATGTACGGGCCCAGCTTATCGGGGACCGAAAAATCGTTGGCGGATAAAATGCGTTCGTAATTGTCAAGATTCGCGGTCAGTGTGTGCTGGCAGGCAGGACAAGCCTATTCAAATGACATTAAGTGATTGGGGGTGCAGAATTACAAGAAATCTTACCTCCCCGAATGCGTTCATGATGTTGACCGAAGGAATTGAGCACGAGGCTGACTTGGATGAGTGTATGCGATTGAGCTTATAGGGAAGGCGATAAGATTTGTCGTTCTGAAGAAATGAGCCGTTACAGTGAACTAAATACAAAGGCGAGCGGGACCGATGATGAGCGAACTGAACTAAGAATTGAGAAATCGTGATGAGGTGATTAGCAAATACGGACAAGCTATCCTTCCTTCCTTACGTCATGTCATCTTCTCCTTGCCTCGCGCAACCATCAACAAGCCCCGCTTTGGGGGCCAGCGGCAATAATACTGAAATCCTCAAGTCGACCAGAGGCAGGCGTAACGAGTGTGTGCCAAAATTCGGTTGTCCGGGATAGAGGAAACGGTTCTTTCTTGTACGTATACCACTCTTATGCTTATCTTAATTTACTCAAATGTGTCTATTACTATGGAAATAGGATGAAATGGTCAGATATTGGGTATCTGAAGACAGAGGCCGCAGCGAATCGTTTCAAAGTGTCTGTGCTAAGACCGGTCAATTGCAACACTCGTCTTGCGGTCTGCTAACTCCTTGGTGGGTAGCTTGACTCTTTGGAGAGGACGAATCTTTGGTGCGTGAATACTTCTACGAAACAAGCGCTACCTTCGTTTTTCAATGTTGAAGGTCTTTTGGGAGGCGATGGCCTCTCAAGATCTCGACGACAACACATTGGCCTGCTTCTGATAAAGAGGGACCTGTCGCCGAATTTAAGTTGCCCTTACTGACGAACTCTTCAGGTTCGACGGTGTGAAGTGGTGACATCCGTGTGTCTTGCGTACCAATCAAGAACTGGAAGTTTCCCCATGAAGGACAAAGCACACGTTTCCAGTGGCATCTGCAGTATTGCGTCCAAACATGCCAAACATTGGTCTGGCTGCATAAAAACGCTTCGTACCATTGACCTCCTTCGTCCACCGCGCACTAATGGATGCTCCAAATTTCATCGACCACGACCTCTGGGGCTCCCTCCATCCACGCAACTCCGCCAACCTCTTCCGCATCGACTTTTTCACGCTCACAAGCCTCATCAAAATTGGGCGGAATCCGGCGACGAATAATATCGTTCTTCCTGGGCTGAGAATTAGTGAGTACAACCAAAAAACTTCGACTGTTGGGAACTTCTTGTTGATGTCACGTAGGTAATCGCCACTGCGAGATTCGATGGGATCACAAGACAGTTGTTGTGACTGATTATTCCAGTAATGGAACTTGGGTGAACCGGTTTTTCTATTGCTGGGGTCGCTTCTCTGATGAATGGTTGGGCCTAAGGTCAACGGCGTTAAGCTCGGTATGAACAAATTATGCATCCTAAAGGATGGAGACGAAATTGCGTTTGGTACGACAATGCCACAGGACGAGGAAGATTATCGTACGTCTGTGTTTCTTGGCCTTTTTTTGTTGATGCTCACGCCTGTCCTGTAGGCTTTATTTTTCACACCCATAAGACGTGCCTGGACGAATATGACCGTGGCGAACTATACGAGCACTACGAACTAGCCCACCAAATCGGCGAAGGTAGCTTTGGCACTGTGAACAAAGGAATGTCTTTAGCGACCGGAGAGTTTGTTGCCGTCAAGATCATAAAACTGCCCAAAACCATTGGGAAATCACGCAAAACTATGCGCGTCAATATGGCCAGGGAAGTCAATATCATGAGTAACCTTAACCATCCGAATATCTGTGCGTTGAAGGATGTGTTTCATCATGAGAGTGACGGATCGATCAGTGAGTCTTTGGTTTGTTAACGTTGGGTAGCACTGTTCCTTATACTCTACGTCAGATATGGTCATGGAGCTGGTTGAGGGGGGTGATCTGCTGGATGCTATTAACAACGGTCTGACCCAGGACGAAGGTACGACGAGGCATATCGCTTGGCAGGTCTGCGATGCGGTTGGGGTGGGTCTACCCTTCTACTTGTACAAGTCGCTTGAACACTAATCTTCTATCTCATCTGACAGTACCTCCACGATTGCGGCGTCACTCATCGCGATCTTAAGCCTGAGGTAATTCAGAGTCTCCTCTACATGGATTCCTCTCACTAGTCATTCCAGAATATTCTCTTAACCAGAGATACTCCTCCTCTGGTCAAAATAGCCGACTTTGGGCTGGCTAAAGTTGTGGATCACCTTACTATGCTTCATGTGCGTGAACCGCCGTCGGCCTTGAAGTTAGTTGTCGCTGATCGATGATGTCTGTATAGACGAACTGTGGGTCTTCGGCTTACCGTGCCCCGGAGACATTTGGTAAGAGGGCACGAGTTGAGGGTTATGATTATCTGGCAGATAGTTGGAGCATGGGGGTGGTCGTATTCACGATGTGGGATCTCCTCTTTCTTTCGATTCCGCTCATTGACATTTTATCGGTAGGCTCACGGGCACCCTGCCTACAGACAAAAAAGCAGCCGCTAGGCCGACGATTGAGTGGTCTTTGTTGGACGAATCGGATGTTAGTTCTGAAGGTAATATATGTTCTGATCTGGCTCTTTATACTGCCGGCTTATGATTGGAACTGTGCGTAGCGAAAGATTTTATGGACTGCCTCCTGCAAGTGGACGTCGAGGCGAGGATGACGATGAGGAACGCACCCCATCATCCGTGGATGAAAGATAAGGTACCGGAAATGTGTGAGTGGAGGGCTAAAGTGTTGGGTGCTTTGGCGAAGAGTAAGGAGGCGCTTTACCACGAGGCGTATCGGAAGTAAAGGTGGCTGGTGCGATGGTGAGTTCCATAGTAGGTTTTTACAAAGCATAGGTAGATACGTAAATGAAGACCACACCTTGATATTACTTGCCATTGTTTCAGTGCTGGTTCGCGTACACTCTGGTAGAGATATCTGAGCGTCAGAGTGACGGGTATCGTTTCTAACAGGCGGGGCAGTGCCCAGGCCTTCTCTAACCAGCAACTGAGCAAGCCAAAAGCGGGCCAATTTCATCACGTGACTCGCTTTCAAACTCCTACGACCTTGGTCTTCGACCACCATCTCTTATAATACTGAAGATGACTCTTGACGACGAGGGCTCCTGCCACTCAGAATCAGGCGACGAAATCCCGGCGGCTTCATCATCCAAGCCGACTTTATCATCCAAGCCGACTTCGAATCCACCGAAGAACGAACCTGAAGAGTACCGTTTATCCAACGCGCTTAAAGTACCTCGGGCGACAACCTACACTGCGCAAGCTCTATACGAACAGATTCTCAATAATGATATCGATCTAGACCCCGAGTATCAACGCGGTACGCCTGTTCTTCGATGATTGGCTTGTGCCACCATTGACGAACTATGCCCAGGCGAGGTGTGGAAAGAAAACAAGCAAACAGGCCTGGTCGATTCTATTCTGCGGAACTTTTATATTCCTCCTGTTATCTTCGGTATGGTTTATTTTGTTCTCGTCTCGTTCGTGCCACCCGAGAATTGATGTTGGTTGGGCAGCGGTGAATACATTTGAGGATGGGACTGAGAGGAGGACGTGTATTGATGGAAAGCAGCGGTTGACTTCGATCCACCGGTGCGTACAGGCTTCAAATTCTGCTGCTGCAACACCCAACTGAGAGCAACCGTTTTTGCTCCCCTTGCAGGTTCATGGAGGGTTTCGTAAATGTCTTTGTCTTATCTCTCTAATTTCTATACTTATTGGTCTCCGTTCAGATACCACGTACGAACTGTTCAGTATGTCTTCTCTTCTACTGCTAACTGGCTTGCCATCAATGTCCTGCAGACCGAGATCAGTGCGTTCAATTCGTGTTCGCGTCGTCTTTCCCTTAGCTGCTACTGACATTACATTACCTAGTGACACAGGCCGAAAGTATTGGTATAGGGATCACCCAGGAGTTCCCGGCAGGCAAAAGACTATTCTCCCCGAGTCACTGCGGCGCATTTTTGCGAACAAACAAATTGTCTGCGTGGAGTATTCAGACTTGACGGACGACGGCGAACGTGACATCTTCCAGCGTGTTCAGCTAGGTGTGGCACTGACTCCTGCAGGTACGCCCTCAAGACATCCACCCCTCTAACCACTCACTTTTTTTTCCCCCTATGCAGAGAAACTGCAAGCGGTCAGCGGTCCGCGTGTCCAGGTCATACGTGAACTGATGGCCACCCATCCACTTGATAATATCCCTTTCGACCGATCGCGTGCTACTGACTTCCGCTGCTTCGTTACGCTGGCTCATGCGCTGGCAAAGTACCCCAAGATGAACAACGTTCTTATCGAGCCGTCTCAGCTTACGAAGTGGTTGAAAGCTGACGAAGAGATGTCAGAGGCGTTTCGGACGAAGATGGAGGAGACGCTTGTGCGGATGGCGGAAGTGAGCGTGCCAGACAAGGGAAAGGACAAGGTGTCACCGGTTGAGGTGGTGTTCATCGGGGTGCTGGCCAATGCGGTGTCGGACGGACGGGAGCTCTCTGATCTGGTGGCGGAAATGAGGAGCGACGCCAGGGCGGTTTTTCAGGGTACGATGCGGTTGAATTCGCAGGTCGGGAAGCATATGATGGCGTTTGTGAAGTCTGTGGATCCGAGCAGGAAGAGGGAGAGAGAGGATGAGGATGAGGATGAGGATGACAGGGAGGAGAAGCCGAAGAGAAGAAGGATTGAAGCTGATAGTACGAAGTCGTCGAGGGCGCAGCAACAGATTGAGGACTTTGCAAAGGCGAAGGGAAAGCTTAGGCTGATAAAGGAGGCTGCGTTGCCGAATCCGCAGAGATTGCCGTCGCCATAAGATAGGTATCTTTTGTATCCACATTTCTACTGTATACATGTCAAACCCGCTATCACACCAAACTTTTCCCAGCCTACTTCCCTTCTTTGTGTCAGTCTAATGTTTCTCTGAGTAATTTGTTTTTTTGTACTTGGCGTAATTCCTGCAGTGATTTCTGTTATTCAACCAATTACGTCCCTTGGATGGACCGTGCCGTGTAATGCTACCTACGTACCTACGGATTTATCAAATTATCAGCGAAGCCACGGCAAACAAATACGTCACCGCTTTCCCACCCATGTTTTTTTTTTTTTGTTCTCAGCATTTGATTAACCGCAACAAGTAAGCTAACTACTAAGACGCGGTGGAGGTACAGGGCCTCAGGATCCTCTTTCCCTCTTGTTCCAGTCCCTCCGTTCTTCCTTCTGAGTTCCCCGGGTGTTTTGGCATGTAGTGTGGAGTAGAGTAACGGACATGTATAATGCAGACTGCGACGACTAACTTGAAGATTTGACCGTCCAGTTGCAGAATCCTTATACTTCCCTTATCCATGCCGTCAACGAAGAAATTCTGCGCAGCAAACACGACCTGACGAACGGAACTTGAGCTAGAGAATCAAAATTCTCCGTGATCACCACCGACATCTCCAGTCTAACCAGACATGCATGGGTTCTTGGCGCAAGACTTCCGAACTTGTTTCTCGCTCTGGATGTCTTAATCCAGTACTGGTCGCTTGAAAAAAAATTTTCTGAGCGCTATCTGATGCTAGGGATATTTTTGCTTTCACTTTATAGATAGAGCAATGAATTTTTTGATATCCATGACGGAGTCGCCGAAAGATGTCGGACATTTCCCCGAAATTAAAGTTAAAGCCCAGGCCCTGAGCCATTTTCGTACAGAATTGGAAATAAAAGCGGGCAGGCCGGGACTAATAGTCCTGTATGGATATAGATTCATTCCCTGGCTTGGCACAGCGTTAGTGACTAACATTGAGATCGGGACTCTCTAAGGTTTTAATTTTTTTAAGTTTAAGAT